CTAGCTCAAGACTCTCGGCATTGAGGAAGCCGGTCTTGAGATATATAGTCACGCCGAGGGGCCTGTCGTGATGTGCGGATGGCGATGAAAAAAAAAACCAATCCGAGATATGATGACGGGGCAATGATGAGCCGGCCGTCATATAGAGGCGATGGTCACCATCCAGGAAGGGATGGTGATCCCAATCGCTAGCTCAAGATCGCGTTGAGACCGAGGGGTCTGCCGCGATGTGAGGATGACGACGATGATGAGCCGTTCCAATAAATGATGACGAGGCCATGATGGGCCATTCGTCACGTAAAGGCGACGGTCACCATCCAGGAAGGGATGGTGAGCCCGATCGCCAGCTCAAAACTCTCTGCGCATGATGTGAGGACGACGACGATGAGGGGCCGGTCCAAAAATCCATGCAACGGTCGTCATCCGGTAAAGGAATGACTAAGACCGGTCTCGAGATAAATAATCACGTCGAGGCCGAGGGGGTCGATCGTGATATGAGGACGACAACGATGAGGAGTCGGTCCAAATAATGATGACGAGGCGATGGTGAAGCCGATCGTCATATAGAGGCGATGGTCACCATCCGGGAAGGGATGGCGAGCCCGATCGCTGGCTCAAGACTCGCGGCGCTGAGGAAGCCGGTCTTGAGATAGATGATCACGCCGAGGCCGAGGGGCCGACCGTGATGTGAGGACAACGGCGATGAGGAGCCGGTCCTATAATACGATGACGAGGCGCTGATGAAGCTGATCGTCATATAAAGGCGATGGTCACCATCCAGGAAGGGATGGTGAGCCCGATCGCTGGCTCAAGACTCGCGGCGCTGAGGAAGCCGGTCTTGAGATAGATGATCACGCCGAGGCCGAGGGGCCGGTCGTGATGTGAGGACAACGGCGATGAGGAGCCGGTCCTATAATATGATGACGAGACGCTGATGAAGCTGATCGTCATATAAAGGCGATGGTCACCATCCAGGAAGGGATGGTGAGCCCGATCGCTGGCTCAAGACTCGCGGCACTGAGGAAGCCGGTCTTGGGATAGATGATCACGCCGAGGCCGAGGGGCCGGTCCTGATGTGAGGACAACGGTGATGAGGAGCCGGTCCTATAATATGATGACGAGGCGCTGATGAAGCTGATCGTCATATAAAGGCGATGGTCACCATCAAGGAAGGGATGGTGAGCCCGATCGCTGGCTCAAGACTCGCGGCGCTGAGGAATCCGGTCTTGAGATAGATAATCACGCCGAGGCCGAGGGGCCGGTCGTGATATGAGGATGAAGACGATGAGGAGTCGGTCCTATAATATGATGACGAGGCGCTGATGAAGCTGATCGTCATATAAAGGCGATGGTCACCATCCAGGAAGGGATGGTGAGCCCGATCGCTGGCTCAAGACTCGCGGCGCTGGGGAATCCTGTCTTAAGATAGATAATCACGCCGAGGCCGAGGGGCCGGTCGTGATATGAGGACGACGACGATGAGGAGTCGGTCCTATAATATGATGACGAGGCGCTGATGAAGCTGATCGTCATATAAAGGCGATGGTCACCATCCAGGAAGGGATGGCGAGCCCGATCACTAGCTCAAGACTCGCGACGCTGAGGAAGCCGGTCTTGAGATAGATAATCACGCCGAGGCCAAGGGGCCGGTCGTGATATGAGGACGACGACGATGAGGAGTCGGTCCAAACAATGATGACGAGGCGATGGTGAAGTCGATCGTCATATAGAGGCGATGGTCACCATCCGGGAAGGGATGGCGAGCCCGATCGCTAGCTCAAGACTCACGACGCTGAGGAAGCCGGTCTTGAGATAGATAATCACGCCGAGGCCGAGGGGCCGGTCGTGATATGAGGACGACGACGATGAGGAGTCGGTCCAAACAATGATGACGAGGCGATGGTGAAGCCGATCGTCATATAGAGGCGATGGTCACCATCCGGGAAGGGATGGCGACCCCGATCGCTTGCTCAAGACTCGCGGCGCTGAGGAAGCCGGTCTTGAGATAGATAATCACGCCGAGGCCGAGGGGCCGATCGTGATGTGAGGACAAAGGCGATGAGGAGCCGGTCGTGATGTGAGGACAAAGGCGATGAGGAGCCGGTCCTAAGATGAGGGACGGCGCTGGGCGCTCGTCTGAGATGAGGGACGGTGCTGGGCGCTCGTCTGAAAATGAGGAACGGCGCTGGGCGCTCATCTGAGAAATGACGGACGGCGCTGGGCGCTCGTCTAAGATGAAGGACGACGCTGGGGGCTCGTCTGAAAATGAGGGACTACGTTGGGCGCTCGTCTAAAAAATGAGGGACGGCGCTGGGCGCTCGTCTAAGAATGAAGGACGGCGCTGGGCGCTCGTCTGAAAATGAGGGACGGAGCTGGGCGCTCGTCTACAAATGGAGGACGGCGCTGGGCGCTCGTCTAAGATGATGGACGGCGCTGGGCGCTCGTATATAGACCCGGGGGTCCGAGTCTATATACTCTATCAATTATTTTAATCATTATTATCATTATGATGATAATTGTTATTATTATTATTATCATCATCATCATCATCATCATCATCATCATTATTATTATTATTATTATTATTATTATTATTATTATTATTATTATTATTATTATTATTATTATTATTATTATTATTATTATTATTATTATTATTATTATTATTATTATTATTACTATTATTATTATTATTATTATTTTTATTATTATTGTTATTTTATTATTATTATTATTATTATTATTATTTTTATTATTATTATTATTATTATTATTATTACAAATGTTTCTGATTTCACTCTGAACTCGTGTAGAATTTGATGCGATCATATCTTGCTCGATTTTGTGTCGTTGAAATTATTTAATATCTTGTTGGAAAGATCTTACCGAGTTCTAAAACTTGTTTTGAGGCGCGGGTTTCAAAATATCAAGGATGATTGCCTATATACTAAAATACACTATATTTACGCTAAAAGTGCTCTATTTTTGCTGAAAACGCTAAATCATAGAGATAAGGCTAAGTATTTGTGACACTCATATCTTGTTGTGTGTTTACCCGTTTTGAGCGTATTATATCTCGTTGGAAAGATAGATCGGAGCTCTAAAGCTATTGTATATATATATTATAATCCATAACTAATTATCTTTTATTCATTTATAATTAAAAATGATAATATTCCTACCAGCATGCTAAAACTTTGTCTATTCGTTATAAAATTAATAATACTAATACTTATAATAATAATAATAATAATAATAATAATAATAATAATATAAGAATAATAACAACAACAACAACAACAACAATAATAATAATAATAATAATAATAATAATAATAATAATAATAATAATAATAATAATAATAATAATAATAATAATAATAATAATAATAATAATAATAATAATAAAATATGGTCTGGTATGGTCTGGTCTGGGCTGTTTTAGTCTGGTCTGATCTGGTTTGGTCTGGTTTGGTCTATTCTGGTCTAGTCTGGGACGAATTACAGTCCAAGTCAAAACAACCTAAATCTATTGTTCCAACTTCATTTACAATGCATTAATTAAAATTTACAGATTAACGATATATTCACAACTGTTTCTGATTTCACACCGAACTCGTGTAGAATTTGATGCGATCATATCTTCCTCTATTTTGTGCCGTTGAAAGCATTTAATATCTCGTTGGAAAGATATTACCGAGTTCTAAAACTTGTCTTCAGCCGTTGGTTTCAAAGTATCAAATGATGATTGCGTAATTACTAAAATACACTGTATTTACGCTAAAAGTGCTCTATTTTCGCTGAAAACGCTAAATCTTAGAGATAAGGCTATGTATTTGTGACACTCATATCTTGTTGTGTGTTTATCTGTTTGAAGCGTATTATATCTCGTTGGAAAGATAGATCGGATCTCTAAAGCTGTTGTTCCAACTTCATTTACAATGCATTAGTTAAAAGTTACAGATTAACCATATATTCACAAATGTTTCTGATTTCACTCCGAACTCGTGTAGAATATTATGCGATCATATCTTGCTCTATTTTGTGCTGTTGAAAGCGTTTAATATCTCGTTAGAAAGATCTTACCGAGTTCTAAAACTCTTCTTCAGGCGCCGCTTTCAAAATATCAAGGGATGATTGCCTAATTACTAAAATACACTGTATTTACGCTAAAATTGCTCTATTTTCGTTGAAAATGCTAAATCATAGAGATAAGGCTAAGTATTTTTGACACTCATATGTTGCTGTGTGTTGATCCGTTTGGAGCTTATTATATCTCGTTGGAAAGATAGATCAGATCTCTAAAGCTATTGTTCCAACTTCATTTAAAATGCATTAATTAAAAGTTACAGATTAACCATATATTCACAAATGTTTCTGATTTCACTCCGAACTCGAGTAGAATTTGATGCGATCATATCTTTCTCTAATTTGTGCCGTTGAAAGCGTTTAATATCCCTTTGGAAAGATCTTACCGATTTCTAAAACTTGTCTTCAGGCGCTGGTTTCAAAATATCAAGGGATGATTGCCTAATTACTAAAATACACTGTATTTACGTTTATTAAAAGTTACAAATTAACCATATATTCACAAATGTTTCTGATTTCACTCCGAACTCGTGTAGAATTTGATGCGATCATATCTTGCTCTATTTTTTGCCGTTGAAAGCGTTTAATATCTCGTTGGAACGATCTTACCTAGTTCTAAATCTTGTCTTCTGGCGCTGGTTTCAAAATGTCAATGGATGATTGCTTAATTACTAAAATACACTGAATTTACGCTAAAAGTGCTCTATTTTCGCTGAAAACGCTAAATCATAGAGATAAGGCTAAGTATTTGTGACACTCATATCTTGCTGTGTGTTTATCCGTTTGGAGCGTAATATATTTCGTTGGAAAGATAGATCTAAGATCTAAAGCTATTGTTCCAACTTAATTTACAATTCATTAATTAAAAGTTACAGATTAACCATATATTCACAAATGTTTCTGATTTCACTCCGAACTCGTGTAGAATTTGATGCACTCATATCTTGCTCTATTTTGTGCCGTTGAAAGCGTTTAATATCTCGTTGGAAAGCTCTTACCGAGTTCTATCTTTTTGTGGATAAAATGTAAATGTATATATATCCAGAAAATAGCATTAGAATGCATCAAAAGTATCAAAAATAACTATCCAGGAAGCAAGCTATCCTAAAATAGTATCTACCGTATCCGCCCCCCCCCCCCCCCCCACCGCAAGCGGCAAGGGGGGAGAGAGATTTTTCGGAAAAGTCAAAAAGGCACGGGACAAACCCCGGCTCGTTTCACAAAACATCAAACAAAATCCAGTCAAAAACAGCCCAGCAGCAGTCCACATAGCAAAGTCCCTCAGCAGTCCATGCATCAGTCAAGGCCCTGCTTATAGGATGCTTTTGGGCCCGTAATTAAACGCCAGCAGCCCATATCCTCTGTATCCGGACCAGGAATTAGGGCGAGCCCAAGAACTCCCAGCCTTCCATCGCATTCCATTTGCGCCGCAGCCCTCAAAATTCAAATCCCGTTCGTACGCTCAACGGGTCAAACGCCAGGCTGGCTGTCAGTCTGACCAATGGATGGTCAGCTATCAGTCCCAACCCATCCCACCCCCTTCCCGCAGCCACCCCACATGGCGCCGGTACCACCAAGCAGTCCGGCGACCGGAGAAGCAGGGCCCAAATCGAACCGGAGGTAACAACTGCTAATTCAAAACTCCACCCTCCACCACCCACCCCCGTCGAGCCCCGGCGACCCCCGGCGGCATAGGTAAAGTGTCGGAAAGTGGCGAATCAACAGTAGCCGGACCAAGTAACCAGTTTTCCGGTTGTCTTCTCCGGCAAACACACAGTGAAGAACCCCATGCCTTCCCACTTTTTGATGTCCGACCAGTCTTACCGTCACCAAATCACCCCCTATATCGTCACCAACCATTATCTTCTCCGGACCCTGCCCCTGTACGTGCCACCCTACACACGCATGAGCCACTGGCCGGTCCTTCAACGGTGACCGGTGCTTCAATGGAAGTTCAAGCTTCAACGAGACTGGTCATCCCCCCCAAAAAGGAAAGAAGCTCAAAGTACAGACCTTTAAAACCGAATACCATGCCAAAGCATCCCCCTTCCATCGCCAGAGTAACCTCCGGTGGCCCAAACAGTTTGATTGCCGGTCAGAAATCCCATAAGAACACAAACAAGCTCTCATCCTCCCCTACCTCGTCACTGTACATGCTCCTCCCACACGCAATGACCCCGGCCGGCCAGATCAACGGATATTACCAGTGTATTCAGGACCTCCATCCCACGGTACAAACTGTTCAAGCACCATCTGAAACCACCAGAACATCCAGCATCAGCTCCGGCACGATCTTTGTTCAAAAGACCCAGGCAACCATAACACTTGCCGTCAAAAATCCAGTTGAAAAACCCCCAACCAAGAAACGCGAACCACATACCTGCCTTCGGAGTTCCGTTTCGCACCAGTCCACCAGCAGACACCTTTACGTCACCAAATCAAAGCCCCACGGCCGCCAATCAGTGAGAGCTATGAACCAGCAGTCCCGGTGACCTTTCCAGCAGCGACGAAGCTCAACAGTCCCTCAGTGAAGAAGCAACCGACACGACAAAACAACCCAAAACTCCACAAAAACTATTTCCAAAAATTCATAGACCAGACATCCGTGAAGCCCGTCAGAGCCGTGAGGGCTCCGGCGGCAGCGACCGCCGCGAGTGGCGGAGCCGGTGGGAAGAAGAGAAACTAGAAGTTTTCTAGTGAGAGAAACAGCTCTCAACTCCTCTTTAAAACTAAGGTATGGGTAAACTTTTAATAGTGACTAGCTCCACCGTTTTCACGGCCCCTTACCCCAGAAACCCAACTTTGGCTTGGCCCTACGGGTTAGTATACACCGCTTGGCCCTACCACTTGAAGGGTTTTTTGGGGGAGCATAGTTCCACTGGTGCTAGTGGGACTCGAACACGAGACCTCTCCTATGCAGGGGTAACCGTTCAACCAGCTAGGCTGGAAGTGCTGGTTAAAAGATCTTACCGAGTTCTAAAACTTGTCTTCAGGTGCTGGTTTCAAAATATCGAGGGATGATTTCCGAATTACTAAAATACACTGTATTTACGCTAAAAGTACTCTATTTTCACTGAAAACGCTAAATCATAGAGATAAGGCTAAGTATTTGTGACCCTCATATCTTGCTGTGTGTTTATCCCTTTCGAGCGTATTATATCTCGTTGGAAAGATAGATCGGATCTCTAAATCTATTGTTCCAACTTAATTTACAGTGCATTAATTAAAAGTTACAGATCAACCATATATTCACAAATGTTTCTGATTTCACTCCAAACTCGGGTAGAATTTGATGCGATCATATCTTGCTCTATTTTGTGCCATTGAAAGCGTTTAATATCTCGTTGGAAAGCGCTTACCAAGTTCTAAAACTTGTTTTCAGGCGCTGGTTTCAAAATATCAAGGGATTATTGCCTAATTACTAAAATACACTGTATTTACGCTAAAAGTGCTCTATTTTCGCTGAAAACGCTAAATCATAGAGATAAGGCTAAGTATTGGTGACACTCATATCTTGCTGTGTGTTTATTCGTTTGGAGCGTATTATATCTCGTTGCAAAGATAGATCGGAGATCTAAAGCTATTGTTCCAACTTAATTTACAATGCATTAATTAAAAGTTACATATTAACCATATATTGACAAATGTTTCTGATTTCACTCCGAACTGGTGTAGAATTTGATGCGATCATATCTTGCTCTATTTTGTGCCGTTGAAAGCGTTTAATATCTCGTTGGAAAGATATCATCGAGTTCTAAAACATGTCTTAAGGCGCTGGTTTCAAAATGTCAAGGGATGATTGCCTAATTACTAAAATACACAGTATTTACGTTAAAAGTGCTCTATTTTCGCTGAAAACGCTAAATCATAGAGATAAGGCTAAGTATTTGTGACACTCATATCTTGCTGTGTGTTTATCCGTTTGGAGCGTATTATATTTAGTTGGAAAGATAGATCGGAGCTCTAAAGCTATTGTTCCAACTTCATTTACAATGCATTAATTAAAAGTTACAGATTAACCATATATTCACAAATGTTTCTGATTTCACTCCGAACTCGTGTAGAATTTGATACGATCATATCTTGCTCTATTTTATGCCGTTGAAAGCGTTTTATATCTCGTTGGAAACATCTTACCGAGTTCTAAAACTTGTCTTCAGGCGCTGGTTTCAAAATATCAAGGGATGATTGCCAAATTACTAAAATACACTGTATTTACGCTAAACGTGCTCTATTGTCGCTGAAAACGCTAAATCATAGGGATAAGGCTAATTATTTGTGACACTCATATCTTGCTGTGTGTTTATCCGTTTGGAGCGTATTATATCTCGTGGGAAAGATAGATAGGAGCTCTAAAGCTATTGTTCCAACTTCATTTACAATGCATTAATTAAAAGTTACAAATTAACCATATATTCACAAATGTTTCTGAATTCACTCCGAACTCGTGTAAAATTTGATGCGATCATATCTTGCTCTATTTTGTGCCGTTGAAAGCGTTTAATATCTCGTTGGAACGATCTTACCTAGTTCTAAATCTTGTCTTCTGGCGCTGGTTTTAAAATATCAAGGGATGATTGCTTAATTACTAAAATACACTGAATTTACGCTAAACGTGCTCTATTTTCGCTGAAAACGCTAAATCATAGAGATAAGGCTAAGTATTTGTGACACTCATATCTTGCTGTGTGTTTATCCGTTTGGAGCGTATTATATCTTGTTGGAAAGATAGATCGGAGATCTAAAGCTATTGTTCAAACTTAATTTACAATTCATTAATTAAAAGTTACAGATTAACCATATATTCACAAATGTTTCTGATTTCACTCCGAACTCGTGTAGAATTTGATGCGATCATATCTTGCTCTATTTTGTGCCGTTGAAAGCGTTTAATATCTCGTTGGAAAGATCTTACGGAGTTCTAAAACTTGTCTTCAGGCGCTGGTTTCAAAATATCCAGGGACGATTGCCTAATTACTAAAATACACTGTATTTACGCTAAAAGTGCTCTATTTTCGCTGAAAACGCTAAATCATAGAGAAAAGGCTAAGTATTTGTGACACTCATATCTTGCTGTGTGTTTATCCGTTTGGAGCGTATTATATCTCGTTGGAAAGATAGGTCGGAGCTCTAAAGCTATTGTTCCAACTTCATTAACAATGCATTAATTACAGGTTACAGATTAACGATATATTCACAAATGTTTTTGATTTCACTCCGAACTCGTGTAGAATTTGATGCGATCATATCTTGCTCTATTTTGTGCCGTTCAAAGCGTTTAATATCTCGTTTGAAAGATCTTACCGATTTCAATCCATGCTCTTACCTTGCTCCAAACTGTGCCTGTAAATTGACAACCAAAGAAAAGGTGTGGCACCGTCTCCGGTTCACCCTTGCAAAATGGGCAAGTGTTAATCACATCAATCCTACTAAGATTATCATACGTTGCAAGGCGGTTGCGGAAGGCAAGACATGCAATGAATAAGAACTTAGGAGGTATGTAAGCTTTCCAAATAAAAGGCATCCACACCTGTTTTGGTGCCCTTGAATCTAATCAAGTCATACACTTTTGAAGAGCACAATTTCCCATTTGTAACCATCTTAGAGAGGGCTGTTTTTGTGCTCTCAATGGAATCATATTTTGAGACAAGGATGTCTCGGATCAGCCCCAACTTCTTAGTAAGCTGGGAGTCCCTAGTGTGTGGGGAAAATTCCTAAAATACTAAAATACAGGCGCTGCTTTCAAAATATCAAGGGATGATTGCCTAATTACTAAAATACACTGTATTTACACTAAAAGTGCTCTGTTTTCGCTGAAAATGCTAAATCATAGAGATAAGGCTAAGTATTTGTGACACTCATGTCTTGCTGTGTGTTTATCCGTTTGGAGCGTATTATATCTCGTTGGAAAGATAGATCGGAGCTCTAAAGCTATTGTTCCAACTTCATTAACAATGCATTAATTCAAAGTTACAGATTAACGATATATTCACAAATGTTTCTGATTTCACTCCGAACTCGTGTAAAATTTGATGCGATCATATGTTGCTCTATTTTGTGCCATTGAAAGCGTTTAATATCTTGTTAGAAAGATCATAACGAGTTCTAAAACTTGTCTTCAGGTGCTGGTTTTAAAATATGAAGGGATGATTGCCTAATTACTAAAATACACTGTATTTACGTTAAAAGTGCTCTATTTTTGCTGAAAACGCTAAATCATAGAGATAAGGCTACGTATTTGTGACACTCATATCTGGCTGTGTGTTTATCCGTTTGGAGCGTATTATATCTTGTTGGAAGGATAGATCGGAGCTCTAAATATTTTGTTCCAACCTCATTTACAATGCATTAATTAAAAGTTACATATTAACCATATATTCACAAATGTTTCTGATTTCACTCCGAACTCGTGTAGAATTTGATGCGATCATATCATGCTCTATTTTGTGCCGTTGAAAGCGTTTAATATCTCGTTTGAAAGATCTTACCGAGTTCTAAAACTTGTCTTCAGGCGCTGCTTTCAAATTTTTTTGGATAAAGGGTAATTATATATATCATCCAAAAGAGTTTCTGTACAAGTAAGGTAAAAAAAATGTGGGACAAAAATGGGGCTATCCCAACATGGGATATACCATAAACCTGTGGGCTATACAATCAGTCCCAAATCACACAAAATAAGGCATGTAGCCGCACCCTATCAATTTTCAAAAAGTAATAAGCTCATGAGGGTAAATACTTATAGAGGATCTTATACACCATGTATTGGATCCTTGCAAAAACATCTTCCTCATGGGTCTTCTTATCATCAAATCTAGTGGCATTTCGAACTCTCCATAACCAGTATATAGTATAGATGAATGCAATTCTGACTGCCTTGGCCTTGATCCCCGCACCTTCATGATCCTTCCTAATCCACTTGACTGAGCTTTCCAGGGTAGACATCTCTCTAGGCATTCCAATCCATGCTCTTACTTTGCTCCAAATTGTGCTTGTAAATTGACAACCAAAGAAAAGGTGTGGCACCGTCTCCGGTTCACCCTTGCAAAATGGGCAAGTGTTAATCACATCAAGCCTACTAAGATTATCATACGTTGCAAGGCGGTTGCGGAAGGCAAGCCATGCAATGAATGAGAAGTTAGGAGGTATGTAAGCTTTCCACATAAAAGGCATCTACACCTGTTTGGTGCCCTTGAATCTAATCAAGTCATACACTTTTGAAGAGCACAATTTCCCATTTGTAACTATCTTAGATAGGGCTGTTTTTGTGCTCTCAATGGAGTCATATTTTGAGACAAGGATGTCTCGGATCAGCCCCAACTTTTTAGTAAGCTGGGAGTCCCTAGTGTGTGGGGAAAATTCCTAAAATACTAAAATACAGGCGCTGCTTTCAAACTATCAAGGGATAATTTCCTAATTACTAAAATACACTGTATTTACACTAAAAGTGCTCTATTTTCGCTGAAAACGCTAAATCATAGAGATAAGTCTAAGTATTTGTGACACTCATATCTTGCTGTGTGTTTATCCGTTTGGAGCGTATTATATTTCGTTGGAAAGATAGATCGGAGCTCTAAAACTATTGTTCCAACTTCATTAACAATGAATTAATTCAAAGTTACAGATTAACGATATATTCACAAATGTTTCTGATTTCACTCCGAACTCGTGTAGAATTTGATGCGATCATATCTTGCTCTATTTTGTGCCGCTGAAAGCGTTTAATATCTTACTGGAAAGATCATAACGAGTTCTAAAACTTGTCTTCAGGCGCTGTATTCAAAATATCAAAGGATGATTGCCTAATTACTAAAATACACTGTATTTACGCTAAAAGTGCTCTATTTTCGCTGAAAATGCTAAATCATAGAGATAAGGCTAAGTATCTGTGACACTCATATCTGGCTGTGTGTTTATCCGTTTGGAGCATATTATATCTCGTTGGAAGGATAGATCGTAGCTCTAAAGCAATTGTTCCAACTTCATTTACAATGCATTAATTAAAAGTTACAGATTAACCATATATTCACAAATGTTTCTGATTTCACTCCGAACTCGTGTAGAATTTGATGCGATCATATCTTACTCTATTTTGTGCCGTTGAAAGTGTTTAATATCTCGATGGAAGATCTTACCGAGTTCTAAAACTTGTCTTCAGGCGATGGTTTCAAAATACAAATGGATGATTGCCTAATTACTAAAATACACTGTATT